CTTTGCTCACTAGTGTCTTGTGATGCAACACAGTTTTATTTTGCTCATTTTATGCCAAGATGTGGAGTCACTGAGCTGCACTTTGAAACAAGCCAGCTCATGTGTCGGGTAGCTTGGGGGTTTCACTGTGGGTTTTTATTTTCCTCTGGGATTCATATTGCATGGATAAGATGGTATGATGATCAGTGAGTTGGGCTTTGTGTCATGTTGGTGTCACAGCTGGACAAGCCCAGGTCACTGAATGGTTTTGTTAGATCGTTTATAGGGTTGTGTTCTCCTCTTTCCGTGTAGCTATTCTCTTTGCTTTCCTGGTTTACATGGGGATCCTTGCTATCCTGATTGCTGGGCGTCTTCTAATGAAGTAAGTGAGCTTCCTCTTTGCACATGCCAGTTTAAGACCATACAGCATAGTGTGGTAATGCTTTGGAGTCCCACTTGTAGCTCTGCTTGCAGATCCGATCCTGTTATCAGGTGCCATGTGCACATTGTGGCACATGTGGCAAGAAATGCAGAGTGATGCAGTTTCACTCAAGGGATATCTTGCACCCTTGGTGGTTTGTGTGCAAAGCAGCTGATGTTCACTGTAAGCTCACACACACCCTGCTGCACCCTTGTGTCCCTTGTTCTTTGTCTAGCTCTGGATCAGTAATCCGAGGCAGTGGGACCAAAGTGCATGTAACAAATGCAACTTTCTACCCTTTACTAAATGGTGTAAGTCATCCTTGCCTGTAAGCAACCCGAGAATAAAACCCCCAAACGTGAGCTTGTGTCAGTGTATTTCCACAGCTGGACTTAACTGAGATCCTAGGTGCTGGCTGAATCTCAGTATTACCTGTGTGAGCTGTAAAAACAGAATTAGGAACTGTCCAAACTTGTTTTATGCTGCTAAATAGCTTCTATTCAGGTGACATTAACTATAAATTTGGCTTTGGCTTTGTTTTGTGTTTTAAACTGTTATTCATTTTCAGAATTGATCCAGTCAGAAACTGGGTTTACAAGAAACTGAATCCCAGAGCAACTGATCGTATGATTAACTCCGTGAGTGACCACAGTATCTTTAGTTTGTGTTCTGTAGTGTTTTCATCTCTGAGAAACACACACTATCTGGACATCTGGGGACTTGTTTATTACTAATCATCTTCCCCTTGTGTGTGTTCCCCTTAGCAAATCTTGTCAGATAGGCAATTTTATGTCAATGGAGAGTACTAGACTGGGTTTCCATGCAAGTTTAGTGGATTCCCTGTAAAGCTCTTGCAAGTTTTGAACATACAGCTTTGTGCCCCCATTAGTTCTCTTGAAACAAATGTGTTGGTGAAATGTCCCCTTCTGACACAGTCAGCATAAGGGAAATCACAGCACTCATGGCTGCTTCCAGCACAGCAGGAATTTTAGCAAAAAAATGAAGTCAGAATTTATATGGGACCCCTAGAAGTAGCATTTCTGTGTGATCCTCATTTTGTACTAGAATGTAGATAGTTCACCAGTCTGGGTTTCATATCTAAGAGGTCCAAACCTGCCTAGAATCAAAAGACTTGAAAGCAGAGCTCTACATCAGTTCTTGCATCTCATCACTGGTATATTGTGATGTTCCCTTCTTTATGCTGTCATTGGGTCTGATCAGAGTGGATTGGGAAACTCAGTTGCAGAGAAGCCACTCCTGTGTTTAAAAGGATTAGTTTCCCACTGGTTTAACTCTCAAAACAGTCTCTCCGTGGTGTCAGACAAGTGCTGATGGGTTGGGGCGGGTCCTGTTTGAGAGCTGGCAACTGGATCTGCTCAGCTGTGTTGCAAAGCACTACACAGAGTGTTGGCAAGCCTCTGGCTGATTTGGAGGGGACCCAGCTCTGATGAGTCTCAAGCACAGGCTCGTTTCACTGCATTGTTGTTTCTACCTGGTCAGAGGTAGAGTCTGGAGCATCTGCAAACTTTATTGTAATGTGGTGAAGCCAGGGAGAGGTTAGAAGTAGACAAAAGGAAGAGAGGGAGAATAAAGACAGAGTGTGTGTGAAAGTTTGCAGTTTACTATCCTTTGTTCCCTAGTCAGCTGGTGCAGCTGCTGACTTGCTCTTCATGTGTCTGGTTTGTTCCCGAAGGAGCTGGGATCCCCAAACACAGCAGACTCCATTAGCTGTGATCCTGCCCCACCATCGTGGAGCACAGGCTCTCGGCAGCGGCTGCGTTCCCTTGACACGTTCCGAGGGTGAGCATAAGAGCTTGCTCAAAAGCAGCTCTTCCAAGGGGAATGAGGTTTTTCCAGTGGTGGTTTGACAGTGCATGGTGATATTTAGCAGATGCACAGTTCAAGGTGGTCTCTTTTACTTGGAAGTTAATCAAGATTATAATTCTCATATTTTTTGTACTTTGTAATTGCTCTTATTTGAGGAAATGTTAATGTTGAGGCAGAGGGTGCAAAAGAACAACGTGTTCAGTGTGAAAATGCAATGCAAAGGAGCTTGCTTTGGTTCACCACCAGTCATGATTTTTGAAACATGGCTTATTGGTTGGTAAAGCTGGAAACCTTGGAAATCTTGCTTTAAAAATAAAATAAATCAAACCTCAGAGTCAGAAATGCATTAGTGGGAGTCGTAATCATTAACTTTGTGTTCATAAATGCGCATTTCATCATCTGATACTTTGTGGTTCTGTTGTCTTTTTAGGCTCTCTCTTGTAATTATGGTGTTTGTTAACTATGGAGGAGGAAAATACTGGTTCTTCAAACATGAGAGTTGGAATGGTAAAGTACAATTGAGACAGTTACTCTGGGTTTTAACTGCAGCCGTGTCTAGAAATGGTTGGTGTTGCAGCTGCTGCAGCGAGCTGTTGCTCAGCCAAAAGCTGGGGTGCTATGCTGCTTTGCCTCAGCAGGGAATCTGCTGGTTGTTAATGGGCAAAGCAGCATATGGTCCTCCTCATCATGCAGTAACAGGATGGTTTCACATCATAGTCTGTGTGTAACCTCTTCATTTGTGATACAGGGTCATATCTTTAACTTTCCTTGTTGCTTAGTGACTACAGTCAAGCTGATGTTGCTCAGTGCTGTAAAAACATAACGCCTTGATTGGTAATTAAGTCAAATATTGTAATGCCCTAGTGGAGAATAGCAAGGATCTCATCCCTGAAATCTTTTCCAAGGCACAGCAATCAGTTCTGACCCTATTCTTGAAGAGTGCCAAATGCAGTGAAACAAGATGATTAGCTCTTTGTAGGTTTTGTTTATAACATGTTTTAGATTTTTGGGACATGAATACTTGCTAGCAGCCTGCAATTCCTCTAGAAACTCAACAGTAATATTGTTAAATTTGAGGAGGGTTCAAGGTAAATAACATGCTCCTTCATATTTCTCTGTAGGATTAACAGTGGCAGATCTGGTGTTTCCGTGGTAAGTTTTCCTCAAGAATAGTTTTTGTATGAAGTGATTCTTTATATTAAAAACTACAAGTAGAACTTTGTGTGCACCTTGCCTCTATGTGGAAATGTATTTGGATGTATTTGTGTTAAACAGTTAATAGGAATCTGCCCCTAAAAATAACAACATAACCCTTACGAACCAGAAGAAGAGCTAAGTGGTTTTGGTGCCCCACATCCTCCTCCTTCCCACACACAAGGCCTAGGGCTACCCTGCCAGTGGAAGTGCAGTATCCCTGAGAAGCTCAATGCCATGCCACTGTGTTAAAAGCTGTCAGTCTGGCAAGATTCAAAGCTGGACTGGTGTATATCCATAGATAAAAGGGCCAAGTAAATTTTCACTTAAGCTAATATTTCTATAACCAGAGAATGGTCTTATGGGGAAGCATCTGCCCCTAACATGCTTCTCTACACCAGCTGTGGTTTCTGTTGGAGTAGGGAGCTGGACCTGGACTGTGAACCTGATCTAGAGGGGAGGAGAGGGTCAGTTCTGAATTTGAAACATAGATTTGAAGCTGGTGTTTGACTGATCTGAAAATGGTAATTTAATTTTGGGTAATGGAAGTTTTTGGTAGCATATGAATTGCTGGGGAAAGAGCAAACTGCAGTTACAACCCTACTTCAACTGACCAATGAAAAAGGTAGAAGTGTCCCATAGTGCAAGCTCAGTAGCTTGGAAATTCCTAGCAATCAAGAGGAAATAAAATCACCCAGTTTCACTCAGTGCATGCATCTCTGCTGGGCCAATGCAGGACGCTCTGTCAGCTTTAGTGTTTGCTGTTACTCATACATGTTATGAGACATCTGTCAGCTCCATTTCCCATCTGCTCTGTTCTCCAGGTTTGTGTTCATCATGGGAACATCAATAGCATTGGCACTGGGCTCCATGCTGAGGTGGGGAAGTTCCAAGTGGAAAGTGCTTAGAAAAATCCTTTGGAGGAGTTTTGTGCTAATCCTGCTGGGAATCATAGTTGTGAATCCCAATTACTGCCTTGGACCTTGTGAGTGGAACTTGCTGTCTTCCTTGCATTGCTGTAACTTGTTCCTGCCTCCTTGGCTGGGCTGTTGCAAGAACTGTGTCAGCAGTTTGATGGTATCTTGTGGAGTGCTGTTCAGTTCTGCACTGATGCAATTCTCTCTATTAGAGTCTTGTACCAACCACGGTTGATTGTCTTAGTGGCTTTCCCAGGATTATGATATACAAAAAATTGGGATGGCAGAGTGGAGGTGTCCCTTGTACCTGCAGGTGCAGTGGGTCTCAGCTCTCCCTGAAGAAGGGTCATTCTTGTATTTACTGCAGAGCCCATGTCTGCTCCTCTTTCACATTGCTTGCATGTCTTCCAGTGTCCTGGGATAATCTGCGTATTCCAGGGGTGCTCCAGAGGCTGGGATTCACATACCTGGTGGTTGCTGCTCTTGAACTCCTGTTTACAAGAGCTGATAGTGGGACCTGGGTGAGTTATGTGGGGAGATGACAACTGAATGGATACTGGAGCAGGGTTTGGGAGCCTTTGCTCTTGTTTGGGCAAAAAGAACACATGAGAAATGAAAAGAAAACATGAAACATCTTACTTGATGTGTAAATGTGACCTGTGTGATGTGCAGTGTGACCTGGCAGGGGTCAGTGTTGGGTATGTACACCCTTCAGTGTCCCAGTCTGCATTTTGTCACATCTAGCTTTACTGTATTTGAGGATTTCACCAATTCAGATAATGCTTAAAAACAGGCATTCCAAGACACTTTTAATGACTTTTCCACTGCCAAGGAAGCCCAGGGACAGCATATTTATGCTGAATCCTGTAGTCTGTGTTTTGTCCAGTTAATTTTGGCCAAGTTTTTTCACAGCAGGGGAAAGTAGTGCTGGGTTTTGGCCTTTCTAGAGTCTGTTTTCCCAAAAGGCTTTGTTCTATTCATGAATCAAAGTTCCTTTTGACATTTTCCAAGTTAAAAAACATTAAGGGCTTTTGTTTCAGTTTGTTTCTCCCCCCTTGCCCCAAGTAACTAAGTGTCTGGAAATTGCTTCTGAAAATGAAAGGTCTATTGGTAGAACCCAGTTTTGTAATGACATCTCCCTCTTTTATCTGGGGTAGAAGACAGCCTGCCAGGAAGTACAGGTTGTCCCCAAGGGCATGTTTTTTTTTACTTGCCAGATAAACCCCCTCTCTCCATCTCATGCAGGAAGGACGATTCCCTGCTCTGCAAGATATTCTCCCCTACTGGCCACAGTGGATTTTTATTCTGGTGTTAGAAACAATTTGGCTCTGCCTGACCTTCTTGTTACCAGTGCCAGATTGTCCTAGGTAAGACTGTGCACTTGGACAACTTAATGTGGGGTATCAGCTTGGTTCTCTTCTACTGAGTAGAAGGTACATTTTTTTAGCCATAGGAAAAGAATGAAGGGAAGAGCTTTCAGGCCAGCAGGGTTAAAAGAAGCATCCATCATGTGAAAGAACTTTACTTTGGCACTGAAGTACCAGGTGTTATACAGGTGATGTCATTCTTCCTTTCTATTTAAAGAAGAGGATTAAAATCTCCCTGAAGTCTGTGTACAGCAATATTACTGCAATGCCATCAATGTGTGCCTCTGGCCTGGGAAAACATTGAGCCTTTGGTGTGCAGGGTCAGTGAGCCAGCTGCTGTGCAGCTGGACTGTAACAACACTATGTGCTACAACCTCTCTGCCTCTGTCCTAGGGGCTATCTTGGGCCTGGGGGCATTGGGGACTTTGGAAAGTATCCCAACTGCACTGGAGGAGCAGCTGGTTACATTGACCGTTTGCTTCTTGGAGAAAAGCATATGTATCAGCATCCCTCTTCAGGTGTAAGTAGTTTTTTGTTTGCAGTATGTCAGGAGTGGCTTGGGAACGATACATGCAGGAAGATTTAAAATAAAGGAGTTTGTTTGCTTGGGTGCTCTGTAACAGCTGTTTTCTCTCTAAGGTGACTTACCAATCAACGATGCCATATGATCCTGAAGGGATCCTGGGGACCATAAATAGCATTGTTATGGCATTTTTGGGACTGCAGGTACCTCTTTTTCTTTCTGGCTCCATGCTATAATGGGAAGATTTGAAGGAAACTTGGAAGTGGGGAGGCAACTGGGTTTCTTTACTTAAGGCTAAGACCGGTTCTAATAAAACCTTTTTCAGAGCAATGCCAATGACTTAGCCTGAGGTGGGTGCCAAAGTGGAAGCTAATATGGCATTAGCTTGCATTAGGTACACTGATACTTCTCAGTTTTTGTAAGGGATGGACACAAGAAGCTTGCAAAATAGCCACCTGGTGTTTTAAGGTTGGGCTTATGTTGGGAGTAGGCTGGCTCTGTATGTTGGAAAATAAGGCTGAGACACACAAACTTCACAGCTTCATTGTAAGGGTTTCAAAAGTTGCAGGTGTGCTTGTTCCCCCTTGCTGATTTTCTGCTTGTGCAGTGACAGCCATCTTGCACAGGTGCTGTGTGCTCACCTTCCCTGACAAAGAGATGCAGGCATTCATACTGGTGTTCCCAACACCAAAAGCTCACACCGCTCACAACTGTTTAAATATGGCACTTTTTGATGCAGTTTGGATGCACTGCTGGCTTTTCTGACAGTGCAGCAGCTGTGAACCAAACTGGAACTCACTCTTCTGCTGGGAAAGGAATGGTACCACATGTAGCACTGGGTAAAAATTGATTTGGAATATCTGTGAGGCAGAGCTTGCAATAGAAGTGTGACACTGAAGAGTGAATTATCAGGACACATTGCTTAGTGGCATATGAAAAGAAGCACATGCTCTGAGCAGGCCAGGGATGCTGTGGAGAAACTCTTGGGGCTGGTTCTGGTGGTGTTCTTCATGCAATCTTTACCGAGGGAAAGGGAGCTCCACTTACGTTGTCTTTACCTAATTAAGATGCTTGTCCCCTTCCTCAGCAAACATAGTAAGAAAGGGACAGAAAGTGCATCTCTACTGCTGACTGGGTTGCATTTACATGTTTTCCACTTGTGTGTCCATTCTTTACAAAGAGTCCTCATTTTGAGCCTTTCAGCCACTTGGCTGATAGAATCCCATTCGTGGTCTCTGTCCTAGCTCATGTAGCTGGTGAAAAATGTATCTACCTCTTGAAATGTACCTACATTAATGGGCATTGGTTTTTTTTGTGTTTTTTTTATAAGGCAGGAAAAATTACTTTGTTCTACAAAGACCAGCCCAAACAAATTATGAGTCGGTTCATCATATGGGGCCTAGTAACAGTAAGTCTGATAGTTATGTAGCTCTTTGAAAGACATGTATTTTAATGCAATGCAAATATTTCTGAAACATATTGCGGTGGTTATATAAACTTTACTGACTTTCTATTTCAGGGAATTATTTCTGCTATCTTGACAAAATGTTCTAAAGAAGAAGGGTTTATTCCCATAAACAAGAACTTATGGTAAGCAAAGAGATGGAACATTTTGTATGATTTTGTTAAAGCACTATTTTAGCTCTGGGAATGTTTTACCTTGTGTACATTGAGATCTGTATCACATAGTTCTCTAAATATTACTATTTCTACTGAAAATGTTTGTAGGTCAATATCATATGTGACAACCATGAGCTGCTTTGCCTTCATCCTCTTATTGCTGATATATTACCTTGTGGATGTCAAGAAATGGTGGTCAGGTGCTCCATTTTTATACCCAGGTCAGTAAAATCACATCAGGAGACATATTCCTTATGCAGATTCTTTCTGCACTGATACTTATCCTTTTGTTTTCTGTGCTTCCGTTGTCTGTAAGAGAGTAGGGATTTAGACCGAGGTAACCTGAAGGATTCCAGACTGATTAAGTTGAGCAGAAACTTTGCACAGAACTGGGATATTTGAGACCAGATATTTAGGAGAGAGGGACAATCAGTTCTTTACACTAGAGATGCAAGCTGCTATTGCCTAATGACTGTTCTGAGTTTGATACCAAGTCAAGGTCCCAGTGAACAGCTGCCTAGTACCAAGCAAAATACCACAGCTGTTCAAAGTTGGTTTTGGAAAGGACTCCTGAGACTTGTGTAATCTAGTGGGAAACTCAAAGGCCTGTCAACAGATTAATACTGCTTCTGAAAATGTGGAAGACAAAATCCCCTGGGCAGCTGTGCAGGTTGTGTCTCTGTGATTTTAGATAAGCACATTTCCCAAAGTATCCCACTGTGGTTTTAACCACACTGGGCACACAACAAACATGAGTAGAGAATGCAAAGCCACAGCAGAGGGGACCTTTCAGCAGCTTTGGTCCCTGGTGTCTGGATAGGGGAATAGGCAGAGTGACAGCAGGGTATCATACCTCCTACCAGAAACCCCAGAGCTTTGGAGGGCAGTCAGCATTTGTAAAGGCAGCAGATCTGACCAGATTGGTTGGCACTTGTCCACCCTGGAAACAGTAGTAACTGTTATTATTAATATAATTGCAGCATACTGATTTGTTTGTATTTTCAGTTTAGCACAGAGATTATTTGTATTTCTTTTAATAAATGTCTTGGGAGAGAGAACCCCTCAGACTGTATTTGAAAACAGTGTGTAGCATCTTTGGGACAACTGACATTAGCTGTTATTGCTTTGGTGCCAACTCTTTTATAAGCCTGCCACACCTCTGCCTGCTTGCTCTGAAGCAAGCCCATACCTGCTATTTCAGATGGTATAACCTGTGCTTCCTTTCAGGAATGAACTCAATCCTGGTCTACATTGGACACCAAGTGTTTGCAAACTACTTCCCTTTTAAGTGGAAGATGCAAGACAGTCAATCCCATGCAGAGCATCTGACTCAAAACCTCACTGCAACAACTCTTTGGGTCATAATATCATATATACTCTACAGGAGAAAGATATTCTGGAAAATCTGATAGAGGTGGTCATGGTCTAGCAGGCCTAGATTCTGATGAGGCAAGGCAAATGGATTAACCTGAAATATGGTGGATTAGCCTGAAATATTGCTACTCACACTGTATTACTAAAAAGGGATACTAGTTCAAGTTTACAGTGCCATGGAAGTCATCATCAAGACTTTTATGTGACTTAAGGGACAGTATTTTCCTATTTAGCAAAAACTTACTAGTGTATTACAGTTGCTCTCTGTTTTCTGTCTTTTGTAAATATTTTACTGATTTCCCTCCTTCATACAGAGAAGCTGAACATACCCTAACAGTTGTGCAGTCTAAGACACTGATAGTGAAGGAACTGCAAGGGATGGGGGTGGTGGCTGCAAGGGGTTATCAGAAAGGGTAACAGTCCCTGCCTGTGACACAGAACCCCCTAACTCAGGTGCTCTGGGGTTTGTATGTTCCCTTGGCACCTCTTGTGTGCCTGTCCCCTCTGGCTACTGGCACATTTAACTTGGCCAGTGACTATCTGGGAAAGCTCTGGGGCACCTCTGTGTCAGTCTGGTGGTGCTCTCAGGTGATCATGCTTCACTGTATTCTTCCCATTTCTTTGACCAAACCCTTAGGTTTAGGATGCTGCTGAAGCCTAAAATCTCTTCCGTTGGCTTATTAATCAGCAGGCTGCTCCTACAGGTTTAGCAGCTCATCTGTGCATGTTCTGGGCCTTTGTGTAACACCCCTCTTGCATGGACAAGGTCTGATTTCTTGTGCTACACTCCAGGAGTGCAGAAAGGCCATTTCCTACTGACTTTGTATAATCACTTGGATATTACCAAATTTCAATCAAAACAATTCTCTTTCTACATGAATTTACTTAAGGACACTGAATCTGAAAACCAGCAATATAGGTATAATTCTTCTGAGAAGGAAGACCTAACACACCAATTCAATGTAAAATAACAGTTTTTGGAAATTTAGGAAATTCACTTGTGCTGTGATTTCCAAACTACTGCTAATAAAAAAACTGAAATACCTTGTTATGTTCTCTGTGTATGTGTAAAGATGGAAAGAACTATGACACACACCTTAGTATAATGCTATGGAAAAAAAAAACCCCAAACAAATAGGATATTACAAAGACTTCTAAAACAAAGTTTTATTTCTAAAGTTTGATCTACTCACATAAGAAAACCAAGCAGTGAACAAACACTAGAGTAGTGTTTGTGTACTGCAGAACCTGTAACTTACAGGGAACTTCTTGACCCTCTGAACAAGAGATTTTCCACTGCTATGCTGCTTGTTCATACAAAGAAGAGCCTTCCCCTCTCTCCACAAAAGACACTGCATCAGGATCCAGTCCATTCAAGCAAGAGTCTGCAGCAGCAGTATTTTTTCGTTAATGCAGAACCTATGCAAGACCACCATCAGATTTTCCCCACAGCGCGAGACCTGGCGCTCCATGGCCAGGCGGAAGTCTTCCTTCACTCCTTTAGTTATACCCCGGGTAACTGTGTGGTGCCTTAAGCCATGAAGGAAAGAGAGACAGACAAAATCAAATCACGGTTATCTAGTGAGCTACAGTCATTTAAAAGGTACTGCATGTCACTTACTATATATTTACGGTCCATGTCTGAGTATATTTAATGAGAGTCAAAGAGCCTGTGCTATGCTATTTTTAAAAAAATCATGTTTAGTAGCTTACAAGTCTTTAAACTGCTGCAAAGAGTCTATATTCTCACTGCTTTGACTGACTGCTGAAGGGTGAAATAATGTCAATGTTCTGGATAACAGGAAAATCTATTCCCTTAACCCAGCAAGTAGAGAGTTCTCCTTGGGGAAAGGAATTTTTTTTCCTCTCTACCTTTGCTGCCCAGGCCACCTCCTCCCTGTGATCACTTCCATAAATGGCTGGCGTTGAAAGAAGCATGAAAAGATGAACTTGCTTTCTCTGGAGCACAGGTGCCACCATAAAGAGCAGAGGACATCTTCTACCAATATCAAAGTGCAGGAAGGAGCTTTATAATCCTGTGGACACTGATATTGCTGTGACTAGTGAAAGGCACAATGAGCAGCACTTCACAAAACCCAAATCAATCCAGGCTGCATCAGCAGAAGCCAGTGAGTCTGCATCAGTAGAAGCCAGCTCTTAGGAAGATACTAGACAACAGGCAAAGGGTAACAATTATTCTGAGCACAAGTTGAGGACTTTTGAACAGAACAAAGGTCCAGCTACTGAGCAAGCTAAAGCAGTGCTGGCTGGGGAAACTTATGGGATATTGCCCTATAAAGGCCATTTTAATGAACAGTTCTTTGTCCTCATGCTGGTCTCCTAAACCTTAAAACAATGTTCTGCAGCACCAAAGCACTTCACTAGCACTGGTCCAGAATTGGGTAAGATCGATCAAGACTTTGTAACATCTACTTGCAAGCCCTACTTGGGAAGGGGAGAAAAAGACATGCCCTGAAATGAGAACCTTAACAATACTTAAGGAACCAGCATAAATTAATTTAGAGAGAAAAGCATAATGCTAATGCTGAGATGAGTCCTGAGTCATGGGTAAGAAGGGAAGAGCTGGTCAGAACCCAGCAAGCCTACTGAAGGACAGAAAAGAAAATAAAAAAAAGGGTGAGGGCATCTGTGCCCATCCAGAGATGCTGGGAACAAGGAAGGGAAACACCTCAGAATTACCCTCACCAACAATACCACCCAACTTTCATGTAAATAAAGAAGTCTGGCATTTGAGAAGAGACTTCTCAGCCAAAACAGTAAAGACCTTTGCAACACATGAAAAAGGCAAAGCCTACTGGGCAATTCCTTGGTAAGCTATGCTAAGTGAAGCAAACCTGCACTGAAAACACTCCAGTATATTCAAAGGCTATGGGTAAATGCTGTTTTCAATCTTTATTGTCTTAAACATTGTTGGCAGCTGAGTGCTATCTATGGTCAGTTCCAGCCTAAAGGAGAATATGCAACCTACAGCTCCTGAGTGAGCCAGCAGCACTTTGGAAGATGTGTGTTGTATTACAGATGGAAAACACAAAACAGAATTCAGAACAACCTAAATGAAGAAAAGTTGCTACAAATGGATCCAGGAACAAGTATCTTGAAAATAAAGGGGTTATGCTCTTGCTAATATATGATTGAACATCAGTAAAACTTTTGAGGATTTCTACATTATTGTTTAAATTCAATAGTGATTACTAAATTCAAAGGACACGGATACTGGCAACTTATGGGAAAAAGAAAAATAAATGTTACAATAGAACAACATGGTTTGCCAGGCAATGTAGGCACAAATGAAGAAATTAAAAAAAAAAAAAGATAAATATTGAGTAACAAATTTCTGAAAACCATGGGCAGTAAAACATGTTGACAAAACACAGCACACTATGAGCAGGGTTTTTCCACTTGGTACCTGTCAGCAGTCTGTATGCTGGGCTGTAGCACAGGTATGAATTCCTGCTGCAGTAACCCCATGGGAGGGCTAGAGGTCCTTTAAAAAACAGCAAATAGCAGCATTCAAACACCCACACACCAACTACCCCTCTGGTGCAAAACAACTCTCCAAAAAAGGAGTCACAGAAAACTAGGGTGAGCTCACACAGCAGTTTGACCACCGAGCAGCCAAAGGGGTGCAGGACTCTAACAGCATCAAACATGCAAATATCCCCAGATTTCATTGCAAGGCTGTTCTACAGTTGTGGTCTAGATACATACACATATTTTTGGACAGTTACACCAGGAGAAAGGACAGCAGCAGGTACAAAACCAGTACACAGTTGTACTATGATGAACTGTCACAGCTCTTCCAAGGAAGCATGTCAGTCAGAAAAGATTTAATCATGGGAGTGCTGCAGATACCACAGCTTCCCTCCAGTACTGGCAAGAGCATGTCAGCAAACTGGGAGAGCCCACAGCTTGGAGTTAAGGGATTGGCTGCTGAGCCCAAGCTGAGTGCATGCACAGCGGGTATCGGCCAGGTTGAGAACATGGCAGTATTTGTTAAAGGTTGCCCAAGTATCTTTTCATTAGCCCACTGATGGACTTTTCCACCTTCACAAATTCTAACTCCATATAAAAACAGCTGTTAGGGCATGGCACAATGCCAGAGCATAAATGCCCACTCAGAGCAACTTCCTATTTTTGACCAGGGCCACAGGAACTAACTACTAAAAGCTGTCTTAGCTGTAAGACAGTTTGTCTTCTCCAGGAAATTAAATTTTTATCTCTGTGTGCTATCTAAAACAAGATTTCTGTGTGCCATCTAAAACAAGATAATAACAGAGAAGCACAACTTGCACTTAGATTTATGTAATTCTGAGTTAGGTGTCTACCTTCAGATTTCACAGGTAGGCATTTGGGTTAGCATCTATAGTTTATTAATAGATATGGAGCTTATAAATGTCAAATAAAGATGGGACATTTAACACTCTAATACAGCTACAATAACCTGAAATAAAATAGTCACAAAAATGATTCAATCAAATGGGATAATTTTTCAAGAGTTCTTGGCATGAGTAAGTCCAGTACTTGCAAGAATGGATGTGAGAAGCAGAAAATACAAAGGACCAGCAAGATGTTATTGGTCCCAGAGTGGCAGATGTTTGCAAAAAGGATTCTGTACAATTGTGTCTTCACTACTGTTTGCAAGATCTGCAGTCAGAACTAAGCACACCCATGTGCAGAGTAAAAAAATTACACTTTCAAGATACTTTGTTTCACTTCAAAGCAACCTCTCTCCCCAAGGAGACATGGAAATACGAGTAAAACAAAGGACAAAGCTTTCAGATCAAGTTTATGCAATTAGGTAGGCTACGATTAGATTAATTATCAAAAAGAGGAGCAAGATATTAAACAGCAATTTCCTGCATATTGCTCTTTTCCTCTTTAGCTTCACCAGCTAACACTGTCCCTACTGACATGAATATCAGATAAACTGTGAAACTTGGTTTTTCTAGAAGGGAGCTCAAAAGCACTTCCTGGTGCTGGATTCAAAGCTCATACAACAAATATTGTTAACACCACAAACAGAATGAGCTAGCTTTATCACCAGTTAAAACCAAAACCACAGACCTTCTCATTCCCACGGTGGATGCCAGCAAAGGAAAGGTTACAAAACTATATATACATATACTTTGCAGAGCCCAATTGTAAGTCTGCAGACTACCAAGATCTTACTTCATCTTTTGTAAAAGCACACTGCAGTTCGCTTCACTGAGTTCAGAAAAATGAATATAATTTCCTTTGAAGTTTAAAGTACTTAGAAAAAAGTACTGGAAGAAGAATGAGAAATTCACCTGGGGAGAAAATGCCCTGTAAGTCATCAAACAAAAAGTAGTCCTTATAGAAGACATATGATGATATCTGCAATACATTTCCCATCCATTAAGATGCAGGATTGCTACATTTATGCTGAGAAAAGATCAGACAAAGGAACAACTGCTTTATCTTTGGCCTGTTGTGTCAAACTCAAGAGTCTTTCTGAGCATGAATGAACAGCATCTGAGCTGCCTCTGCTAATTCATGGGAGGATGGTGCAGCAGCTCATCCACCCAGAACTGGTGATAGTTTTGAAAGATGTAAGCAGTCTGCAGATACTGAGCCTACCAACCATTGTCCCAGGATGTGTGGCTATACTGGCACACTTTATCAAAAACCCCAGCTGGGGGAGGCTGTGAGCTAACCAGGTCAACACTTCTGGGTGACACCATCCCTGGGCCTCACAGACAGTCCAGCTAGAAAAATATCTGCGGTACCAGGGGAGTAGACATCATCTCCGACCAGTGGCCCATGCCCTGAACTATCCCTTCCATCGGCTCTCTGATGAAGTGCTTCCAGCCCTACACAGCCACACAAAGGACGCTGTACTCAGCTTTTCCAGCTGGACAGGATATTTGACTGTTTTGGCTCAGTGAGCACAAAGAAACGGACTTCTCTTCTACAAGTCTTTCCGTCATTGAGGAAACATCACTGATCAAAAGGAGGTCAAAGAGAGATTCTGTCCTGCTAGAAACACTTCTCGCTGCCTCCTTCCTGCCTGGGGGAGGTCAGAACAGAAAGTAACTGTGGCCACACCAATCAAACAGAGCCAAGAGAAACAGCACTGAACTACTGCAATGAAATGGAGACAGCAGGTAAGAAGTTACCAGATGGAGTCTTCATAAGCTTGCTGGCAAAGCTTATTACTTAACACCATATGTGGTTCAGCATGCCCTGAAGCTTGTTTTCATACAGCTGGTTACAAGCAGTGAGATATGGCAAGGGTAAGAGTTTGAAAATCTAGAGCTTAAAAGAAAAAAAACTCCATCACGTAATTAAGCATTTGAATTTCTACTTTTCCTTTAATTACACCTAGTATCTCATTTTTGTGTTGGTTATCTAGATCTCTGGAAAATCTATTTTTGGTTAAAATTTGGATCCTGTTGTCTGATGTTAGGCTCCCATTTTGAAAACTTTAGCCCACTTCTGGTTTGTAAATAGCCAAGTGAAATTTCAACACTTTAAGCAGTCCCCCTTTTAGGAAGCAAAATGCTACAAATTCTCAGAAACAACCAGGATAACTCAAAACATTCTGCCACTAAAACCCTGCAGAGGATAGTTTTGAGCCAAGATGGAGTAAGAAAGAACACCTAGGAAGTTAATCCAAATTATTAATTTGCTTCAGCATCTTGTAATAAGCTAATCAGAATAAGATGACCTGCTAATTCAAACAAAATGGTTACTGGAGTGTAGCTGGAGTGCAATTTAATTGATATTTCATACAGAAGTATTTCATCATTCAATGGTCTTCCACAGAAAAAATAAGCAAAATAGTGCTTTCTGCTCAGCATTATTCTTCAGCAAAATTACAAACAATACCTTGCACTCATGCCTAATTATTTGAAGAATTCCTGCAAAGCACAACTGTCTACTTGAAAGATCACAACTGTAATCACTTAAATATCTACCACTCTAAAGCAAATGCCACACTCAAAAATAAAGTCCTGTAAAAGCAGGAATTAAAGCTGAAGAACCCCCCCAAAAGAATACACAGATCGGCAGGAGAGTCAGAAAAAGAAACTCGCGGCGGCCTTGTTTGAACTCCTTGAATTTAAGCACAAAGACATGACAAACTATCCAGAAAATAACATGAAAGCAAAGACAACCAAAACATACTCCCTTTTTTTTTTTTGCCAAAGAAAACAGTAAATGCTTTTTTATCCTTACTTGATCAACATTGCTTGATTTGGCAGCAGTTCCAGATGAATTTTCCCTCCTTCCTGTGTTCTTAAATAAGCAAATTCCTCCAACATATCAATATCTGAAGAAAACGTTAAAGATTTGAGTAGGGAAACAATGATTGAGAACATTCTTTCTTATGCCTCACATCTGAAGACACATTGCTGAAAGGAGAGTCCAACTGAACAGCTACTGATGCACCTCATTATTAAAAATGACAGAGAAGATCACAGCATGTATTCCTAATCCTCCACAACCTGATAAGAAATGGCTTTTCAAAGGTTAGAACACATCCGTTAGTTTCTTTTCTTTCTTTGTTTCTTCATATATATTCAGAGGTGAAGATGGCTGATCTCAAAATTCCCTGGGTTTCACTTCCTTTTTCTGCACTGCAGGGTATGAAAACAGTGCAAACTGAGGCTGCACCTGAAGCAAGTGGCACTTTATAACACTTTTTAGTTTTCTATTTTGATCTCTTATTTAGCTGCTTGTTTTGTTCTTTCCTTTGGGTTTTTTTTTTCTTTCTTTTAACACCACACCTTATTTAGTTGTCTCAGATAGGAGTTAGACTCCCCTGCTTCCTGAGGCCCATGGCTGGATATCTATCTACCACTTTGTCATTTTTGTTAACAGCCTTGTACATAATGCCCTATATTTCTTAATGAAGAGATTGCTGCCACGTGCATGGGCAGCCCGAGCTGCTGCTGTCTTTCTGAATGGAAATGCAATGGCAGTGTACTTAAGGCTACTCTCAAGTGCCAGGAGGCATATTTACAGTCTATTGTGTACTGAGCCTCCTACAAGAGGTTTTCGTGGTTTGAAAATAAATACAGAGTATGATTCAGGGAAAGAGCTGCTCAAACTAACAGGGAAAGAGCTGCTGTTCAAACTAACAGCTTTTTCAACACTACAGCACAGGATGTGAAAGACATTCTTGGTTAGAGAAAGGATACTTGTGACGTAGTTGAAAAAATTCTCATACTGGAAGTTTCCTTGCTGGCAGATTTTGTTGATGGCTTTCAGGAACAAGTTCTCACCCCTTGGCCACTCATGCTGAAGCAGAACAACTACGTGGCCCAGGGCCATATCATCTCTGCCGTCTGTGAAAGCTCTGAGCTTCAGGGAAAAAAATTACATTCAGACAATCAGGAAGCACATGTTGCTTTCAAAAACATACAGGATTTATCTCACCTAGATCTGTGCAAATACAGAAGTTCTTTAAAAGTATATATACTTTTAAGGCAGAATTAAATACACTTCTAAAGTAGGTTGGAAATTTCCAGCTAAAATATCAAATCCTCCCCACTAACTTGTAAGAGAAGTCTGAAGAGAGACAGAAATATTGAGATCTGTTATGTCTTCTCTGCTCAAAACTCAAACAAATAGAGAGAAAAAGAGAAAACATACCCTTCTTCATCAACACTCCACTCCCCTCTCCAAAAGAAGACCCTCCCCCAACCCATTTAGGTAAGAAGGACTGAGGCACAGCCCTTCAGTCACAGCACTGGGATATGGCCATGCAGGAATTTCAGGATACATAAATTAGGCCTTAAGGACAAGAAAGCTCCAATTGACCCTACATTACCTTGAAACAAGCTAACAACAGATGCAGGCAGTAAGGCATGATAGCTCTACTGGTACATGGCCAAAGCTTCAAATCAGACCCTGCAACAGAACAGTTCTTTAGAGGTCTCACAATAGGTAGGTTGAAAGAAATTGAAATGGAGAAAAACAAATTCAAAGTTACCACATTAGGGAGGAAAGCTTTGAATGTAATTTATGACTGATTCAAAATGTGAAGTTAAACATGTAAAGTTTTTCTTCTTCACTTCTCTTTTCCTGTGGTAGGACCTTGCCACCAATATACTTTAAAAGGTACAAGAAGAAGAAGAAGCAAGAAAACCTCAATACAAAACCAAGAGGGAATAAGGAACTTCCTCCCTTTTTATAATACAAAATGAGAATAATTATATACTCAACCAGAACACATGAACTAAAATTGAGCTGACACTGAGTTTAGGGTAATAGCAACTCCATACCTTTCCTGAATTTTGACTTGACTTTAGGTTGCTCCTCTTGTACTTTACCTCCTTCTTGTATTGGAAGTAAAATACAGCACATGAGGTCAAGCACTTTTTCACATGTTTGCTGCAAAAGAAGGGACATGATAATGCTGAATTTGAAGTTCTTAAAAATATGTTAATAACAATTAAAAATTTCAGACACCACAAAAGGAAAAAAAAAATCACAAAATTCTTTGCTAGAACTTGAACTGACTTAACACACAGTACAGTCTGGGTAAGCAAAAAGACTTAGCTGTCACTAAACAGCCTCTGAGAGCCTACATACATCATTTGAATGGTGAAAAAATTATACTGGCATTCTTCATTTCAAAAGGGTAAGATCAATATAACTGCAATCAAAAATTATTTTGAAGGATTAAGTTTACAAAAGAATTCTTAGGACAGTTTTGTAAAATATGTTCTGTTAATGGTAAAAATAGAAAGGAAAATGGCAATATGACAGCATGATAGAAATTCATTGAATTTTTATGGGTATTTCCTAGCAAGAGGTCTGTGGGAATATATGAACACATTTCCAGTGAAAAAGTATTAAAGTGGAAGGGACAAAAGCACTTGTCCAGCAGTACTAGGATGATGTTAGATCCTAAGAGACAGAGCCTTTATTGTCAGTGCTGACACTGACTGACCTCAGACCACCATGCACTCATGGAATATTAAAAACACAAAACATATATTGCAAAAGCAGAGCAAGTTCAGAGGTCAGGGCAGACAATATTGTTCTGGTGTCTTTTATATCATCAGTTAATAACTAACTCTCTTTTAAGATGATCACAGAAGTTCCTTTACTTTTCCTTCCCCTGCCACATGAAGCCTGTACCTAAAAGAATTCCCCCCCAATTTAAGGAAATAATTCAGTGAAGTTAAGGAATGCAAATTAAGGTTGCATTTACAGACAACTCAAACACATGCAGCCATGAAAAGTCATAACTAACTCCCCAAATCTTCACTCTCAAACAGACTATACACATACATATAATGTGTTGTTGCTAATAAGTTGCTAATATATGTGTTGTCCATAAGTTACTAATGGACAGTCAGTAAATGTGGCAGGAAGCGTAATTCTCCCAGTAAAGCATGGATGTTTCAGTAGACCCTGGTTTATGTTCGATATCCTGCTGAAAGCAGGCTAACAGGAAAATTCTGTGGAAAAAGAGAAATGGGAACCACAGGGCAGCTGATGAAGGCCCAGTGTGTGGAATGCTGTACATACCCGATATTCTCCAAGGGCAAAGTGGCACGATGCTAACTGGATTAGCGCTCTCTGATTTTCTAAAGATCCTTGTCCTGTAATTTGCTGGGGAGAATGAGAGCCCTGAAGAGCTGCCAAGTGATGTAGGCTGCTAATTGCTTTTTTGTACTGCCCCTTTGAAAAAGAATATTAAAAAAGAAACTGTTAGGGTCTTTTCTATACAATAAGTAGAGAGAGAGAGAAAAAAAGTCTCTTACAGGAAGCTTTCAAAATGGAGTGTGTCCAAGTAACAAGCCTTCAAAATTTTAATCAAAACTAATAATCTCCAGTAATGAGTTATGTACAAGACTGTGGGTCAATCATTTGTAAGGCAGACAGAAGACAAACAAAATTAAAAAAAGCCAGTTTACAAAATCATATTTGTAACTGAATCAAATAATTATATTCTTGAGTTAACTGTTACTTTATTTAGACTAATAAAGTTTGAAATAGCTCTTGTTCAGGCACAAGAAGAGGCAAAAATAAGACTTCCAAAGGAAAAATAAAGAACGAGCTGTCTTCTGTAGATGGTACTGGAATGAGCACAGTCAGCCTCATTTTTGTGGAGAAGTACAGAAGTTAACTGAGACATGTTAAAACCTTCTACTGTTTGAAAATTCTCTCTGTGTTCAAATAAAATGCACTGACAGACTAATAAAATACACTTATCTTCCATAACACTGTGTATATATCCGCTGGTCAAAATGCCAATATAGATGTCTCTTATACATGCCAAAATTAGCTGGACTCAAACAAGAGCTATTGGAACAGGAATATACAAAGTAAGATACCAAGCTTGTGGTGCAAACAGTGTAGTTCTATCCCCAGGAACCATAATTTAAGGTATAAAACCAGTAGACACTCTAAGCAGTCAAACTGGCTAATCACAATTACTATTTACAAGAAGGAAGTAAATTGCTATTTACTAGAAGGAAGTGCAACACAATGGTGGTGTTTTTCCTGATTTATACAATTTTTTTTTTTTTACCTGGTAGATGATCATGTCTGTAAGAAAGATTCTTAACCAAAGCCAGGTTTCTGTCTTCCATGACAAACAAATTCTGGTGAACTCTGTGTTAAGTGGTTAGAGAAGAAAAAGAGATTATGAAACATTTCACAGCTTTGGGTTGAACATCAATAATATATATAAAAAAAGCTGAATTTAAAAATGGAAAAAAATGGCACCAAACAGTAAGAGGATGAAATCCTTCACATACAGGATATTCTCTTCCTAGACAGTCATTTTTGATTACGCTTCTGTTCACAGTGTCCAACAAACCTAAAAGCAACTAGGTGGTACTGTTCACCTCCTTTTTACAAGAGACATTTTTTTCAAGATTATCACACCAGTTATTATCAGAAAGGGAGGCACAGTAAAAACACATGTTCTTAATTGTGATCTAAAGAAGCCATTAGCAGCATGTCCTCACTGAGCACTATCAGCCCTACTACTGACCTATTGCTTCAAGAGAAGTGGGGGTGAGTAAACAAAGATGCATCAAGAATGAAATGAAATACAGGAACAAAATCTTCAGAAATGTAACAACTGATAAAGCTTCTCACTGGAACTTCTATCAGAAGTACTCAGGACCCTTTGCAATTTCAATTTTAAGGATTCATAATGGCAGGAATTCCATTTTAACAATAAAAAGTGATTTCTACACAGAGCAATGAAATCCAAATGCAATTCTAAAAGCAGTTACCTTACCTTTGTCAAGTGATTCCAGAGAATACAGCAGTTCCCAGCTCTCTCTTGCCAGTTTGAAACTCTCTAATACTTCAATGGAGTTTGCAAGATCAGCTTTATTTACTGTAATATGTCGACTTCTTGCTTTCCCAGAAGGATCCTCATCATCTGAGCTCTGCTTAGAAGTCAGTATAAAACACCAAGATTAAATTCTTAATTTATACTTGTTTCAGAGAACTCTACAGTCACAGAATTTCCACTGAACACAGGAAAACAATAGTGTACAGAGGTGCTCTGGTCCTAGTTTAAGTGGCTTTAAGTGATTTTTCACTTAGTTTGTTCAAGGTTAAACCAATCTGGTTTGCTACCAAGAACTCAGTGGCACAGTGTGATGAGCAGTATCCCAAACAAATTTATTCTGTTAAATGTGGTATACCACCACTGAGCTTCAGTTAGATTATCTGTTGAAGTACATACACACTTTACACTTTATGGCTCAGTTTAAGCCTACAGCAAAGAAATATATATATAATATATATAATGCAAAGAAAATCCTTTATAAGAATTCTCTTTATAGCAGAGAAATTCTATAAAATAGTGATTTTCTACCATTAAAGCAATAGATATATTGACAGTTCCAATCATGAAAAGTCTATTACTTTGGAAGTTTACCTGTAGAACATCTGCCTGCTATAGCTACCTTTTTAAGTGCCTCTGCTGAACTCCTTCAAGTTAAAGCCTTCACAACAGTACAAGTATCTACAGCAACTGCTGCAAAAATGGTTTTATTCTTACTAACTGTAGGAAAAAAAACATTTGAAAATTGTGGTCATAAACAGCTAATTCAGGGTAGCTCTAAAATATGTCTTTTAGATCTATGCCAAAACCACTGCTGTCTAAATTCCAGTAGCAATGCCATTCTTGTTATGAATTAGAAAGTCTACAAAAGTTACCATTGTTTTTTCTCTTCCTTCAGCAAGTTTCCTTTTTTTGTGTATGTGTTTGTTACGATCAATATCTGTATCACCGTAGATGTTGGGTACATCCTCAAGAAGAACCAGTGGAGTTTGGTTTGGAGCATTTGGACCTGGATATAAAGATAGATTAATTCACAAATGCCCTAAACTGATCTGAAAGATCTTATGCCTACAACAAGCTGAGTTTTTTTTTCCTTCAAAAGTAATGACTATAATGCTACAGGAAACAATAAAGTCACTTAAATTGCTTAAACTATGCTGGTGAAACTATGGTTTCCTCAACACAGCCATACAGTGAAGGTCAGAGTGCATTTACCAGGCATCACCAGAGTCTGATTGAGAGTTTCAGAGTATTTTGGAATCCCTTTCTTCTGGAGTAGTCACAAGATATACCTGAGTATACCAGGTATCCAGTACACCAGCAGGTGTTCTCTGACCAAACATTATTTGCTTTTATGTAAGTACAATTATTCAACAGATAAACAACACAAATGGCTCTGAAGTTAATAGCCACAAATATGGCAAAGCACAACAATATTCTCAAAATATTTTTCATGAGAAACTAAAACAATATGCTGAAAGGCACTGACCCCTCAAAGAAGTTTGTGTATTTTATGACAAGATTTCCCTAGTAGGATCACTCAGTGTCAGCTTTGCCACTGATTTTACAGAACAGGATTAAACCTTTAGTTGACTGCCAGAGCTCATCTTCACTCCCAAAAGATAGAAAAGCCTCATTTTGAAACACAGAAAACAATTTCTACTTTCACTGGTGTCAAAGAACATCCAGTAGGATCTGGTACCTGTTATCTCACACACCAGTGCTTAACTTCGTTAGACATAAAATAGGAACAATACTTCTTAATCTCAAACAATATTGATATGTAATCACTACTGAGACAGCTTTCCTTCCAAAGACATTTTCTCCTTCTGCACAATCAAGTTGCATATAGATGTGCAAAGCTCAGTCAAAGAAAATATAAAGGAGAGAGTAATCCTTTAATGTTTGGGTTTTTTTCATTCTGAAATCTCTGCCCAGTAAGACAGTAGTGCAAACAATTATTTTCAGTTTGTGTATTTCTTCTATTTGCAGAAAGATATGTGGCTAAGGCCTCATTCATAACCAATTTGAAAGTTTAGTAGAAGGACAATTCATTTCATCTTCTGACATAAAAAAACCAACTTCTATCAAGCTTCTCCCATCTGCTCAAAAGTGATGTGTAAGGAGTTCACTACAATAGAAGCTTCTGTTAGAACAGCCAATCTGCTCTAACTAACAAATACAGGTCAATTAATACAACCACAATAATCAGGTCAATAGATACCACCATTGAAATTGCACCTACAGAACATTGCAATCATCTCTCCTGTACCATCATGTATTCCACTACAGAATCTAATCTGTGTGAACTGAAAATAGATTCAGGACATAACACAGAAGATTCATATCTGATTCTCATGGATGTAAAATACCACAGCTGGGATGCTGGAAGAGTTTCACCACTAGAACCTCAAGAGCTGCCTAGTTCTAACACCTGAGAAGAAACAAATTGGATTTTTCTTTTACTCATATCGACTTAAACTAACACCAGCTAAGTGCTTTGCTTTCCAAACAAGCATTCTCTTCCCAGTACCAGAAATGCACTGTAGTCTTTATTCCAAAACCTCCAGTCCTAAAACAAAAGAAAATCCATTATCACCCTTGACTGGGGCTGCAGGCCCTCTTTTACAGTACTGAAAGTTACACAGGGACACAAAGAGCAGCGTTGTGTTTTTCTGTCTGAACTCTAGAATCTAAGCTTACAGAGTTTTTAACTATTTTCTAGCAGAGAATGTTATAAATAAACCTCCAAAAGCATCAGCCCAAATAGCAACTCCTGCCAAGCCTGGAGGCAGCCTCAAAGTTATGAGAGGTGTGAATTGCCTCATTCATTTCTCAAGCCTCCAGCAAAGCAGATACACATTATGTACAAGAAATGCATTGAAAAATCTTCCCTCGAGAGGCTTCTTGTAAATCCATGCACGTGAGAAGAGTCACAGACCTAATCCTCACAGATGAGAGACAGCGTTTTTCTCCGTGACCATGCTTCCAAAAATATGTAGGATTCTACATTTCTACAGTAAGCCCTCCAGAGAGAAGGAGGAAAAATTTGCATGATAGAAAAGATATGAAAGGTACTGAATACTACTGGACTTCAATGCTAAAGCAGAAATGAGTAAAAGTTGTCTTGGAAATACTTTCCTGGTATCAGAAAATGACAGAGGGTACCAGAAAAGCTGCACCAAAGGAACTGCACTCTGTAACCTCAGTATACATTCTTTTTTTGGTGGTTCAGTCAGAAAACATGAGCTTTGAAATACTCAATTGTACAACTTAGAAAGGATCATTTTCACCAATTCTTCACTTCCTTTCTTCTTTAACTTGGAATCAAGCAGCTAAAACTTCATGCACACCTGAAGCATCCTCCTGCCCACCACAACCCTTTCTTCCTCTGGACTGAACAAAACACTTGACTCATTAGTTAATTAGTTCCTATTACTCTATGTTCTTTGCACACCAATTGCCATGTCATTTGTCCTCCAAGTTTAACTATCTACTAACATTGTTCAACTGATCACCGAACACTGTACAGTTGTTTAAAACCCATCATTTGTATTGACTGCTTCCTTACTCAAATGATCATTTTCTCCATACAGAAAAATGTGATGAAACTTATGATCACAAGACACAGAACTGAAATTGTAATTTTAACATCAATCAATAACTGTAGTATTAGTAAGTATTAATTACCTAGGGTGACAAATTGTTACTGTTGCAAGGAATTTCCTGTCACATTATTAAGAGTTGAAAATTCCTCTTTATGATGCTGATTATTTCAGTAAATTCTAAACAAAATGGAACTGAAAAAATTTTCATCAGTTTCTGGACTGCACCTGAAAAACCCCATCAGTCCCAGAAGAAGCAATCCAAGGTGTTCCAAGCAATCTGGTATGTCCCAAATGCAGATGTGTGTGGGTAGGAAAATGCACAGGTAGCATAAATATGTTCAACATTCAATTTACAAATTAATTACAAATCAAAAATAATGTGCAAAACACACCTCAAAGATTATGCTTTAACTATATAAAGACAAGTTGGAAGCTTGTGAATGTCAGGAAATCTTTTCCTATTCAGCTTTTATTTGCTCAATTACAAACTTATTGTGTGTTCCAAATGCAAAAATATCTTCACTTTGACTGAAGGAAAGCAGGAAAATTTCAGCTTCAAAGAAACAAAATCAGAGGAGAAAATGAAACAAACATGATGCTCATGGAAGGGTAGGAATCAACCCTAGGAATGTTTCCTATAATATCTAGTCTGTTACTTTTCTCCTTGCTAGACAATCAACTGCTGCTGGCCAAGGTTGAAACCACAATGCTAAGCTAGATTGATCTTTGGTCTGCTTCACCACACATTTGTTATGAACTAGCATTGGTAAGATTAATGTCTTGAGAGAATTGTAACAAGTTATAGCAACATATAAATGTTGCTTTGTGAGATGACAGTTTCAAAAGACTAATGAAAAAAGATCTTTAAGACATTAGCAATGAAATCACAAAGGGCTTATTACTGAAGTTGAAACATTAGAAACTAACCTTGAAAGAGTGATGGCTGGATGTTGCTGACATACTGAAAAGCATTTTTAAAGAAGACCAACATCGTGGAATACACTACTTGATTCTTGTATTTAATGTGGGCTTCACTATCAAAGTTACTGATGTATCTGCAGAGATCCTTCATTCGATGCAAAATGTCACCGTAACTTCTGAGGGGAAAGAGATAACAAGTATTCAGGACGCTACACAGACTCTGCAACTAAAGAAAAGAATGCATACTGAATATGAAAATGGTTCTGCTGAGGATAACCTCCAGCATACAGTCAGTGGAAGCTGGGAATACATACTAGTGAATATCACAAAACATTTACCATGTATGTTTCTCTTTACTGAGGCATGTAGGGAAGGCTGCTCCACAGCACTATAGTGCTTATGCAGGACTTTCATCATCAAAAGTTGATTTCAGAGACTAATTTGAAAGTGCTCTCTAGAGACATGTTTTTGCTGTACATTGTATAGTCTTGAAAGAAAAGCTGTTGTCAACTTACACAAAATGCTCTTGTGTTAGAATTGTTCTTCAATGAGAATTTATCTTATTAAGAATCAAAAAGCCAAATTCTCCACCAGGGGAAATACCCAGCAAAGTAGAGCTTTCTTACCTTCTTCCCTTATCCATTTGCCACTCACACCTCATTCCCACAACAGACAGTATTTTAAACAGTCTCTCCCAAGGATCTGTAATCTGGGATGATTTCTCTGTGAGACCATCTATTACATACTTCTGAGAGCTGCGCTTGCTTGGAGACATGATATCAGAAGAATCTTGTGAACCTAGGAAAACCAGCACATTCTTCTCTTCATAAAGAAATCAAACTGATTCATTTTCAAGAAGACATGTAAAAATTATGTTGGAACTTTCAGGGTAACCATTCTTTACACAGAAGGCTAACAGGGAGCAGCAGGCATTTCTGCCTCTGTACAAGAGAGCTGGTAGGCTGGATAAGGATATCTTGGACATTTTGTCCCACTTCTCATATGCTGAAGCATCATGAGCATCATGACTAAGTAGCTGAACTAATACTTTGGTATTTTGGAATCAAAAAACTAAGAAACACAAAATACTACTTTTAATCCTTGCCTATGGGATACATTACATAAAAACAATGTATTTTTTAATTTATGGACATCAGTGATACCAAGACACATTCTAAAAAAGCTTAATTTTTAAAAAGTATTCTTACCTTGATATTGACTTTCTGTCTGTGTAGACCTAGTTACGTAATTAATATAAAATTCTGCTGCTTTATTCAGATATTTATATAACAAGCTGGCAGGAAGTCGTACATCAGGGTTGTTAATTATCAAAGGAAGGACATCACAAACTAAAATAGAAAACAAACAAAAAAATCCTTTAGATTTGTGGGTTTTTTTGTTCTATTTCTCCTAGGTAAGTTTTCTCAATCAGCAGTGTGAGCCTTCATCTCTGGCTGACCATATACCAGAAAGAACCTCACATGAATGGCTCCAGGACCAATCTGTACCATACATTCAGCCTGGATTAACAAGGCCTGAGCCTCTTCTGACCAAAGCAGTTTTCTAATCATAGTCCCATGAAGGAAGTCTACTGTGCTCAGAACCTTGCCATACTAAAAAGTTGCACAGTAAAATAAGAACATTAGTATTTTCTTACCAAATAATTTTCTAAAACAATTCACTGGAGATTCTTGGTCTTCAATACTTTCAGCATCTAATAATGTTTCTCCAAGGCCTACCTGTGAGAACAAAGGTGAAAATCAAACACCAGAACAGGGGTTTTAGAAACTTTTTGAACTGCAGCTCAGTGGGGTTGAACACTAATTCAGTAACAATCCTATGGCAACAGCACGTGCAAGCCTCCAAATACATAGTTAAACTCTCCACACTTAATAGAAGGTGAAAAGCAGTGTCAGAAGATAGCAAAACTAGATCAAGAGAAAAACTCTGCATAAAACTATGTCAGTAGACATGCACAGACAAGTGAAAGCAATATATGACTGATATTCTTTCATTTACAAAACAAAAGATTGTTTTATTTGCTTCCATTTGTATTCTGCCCAATCCCTTCCTGGTGGTAAGATCATGATACAGCAGTCTGAACTATTAGTCACAATTAAACATGAATAAAAATACCCACCCTCTCATTAAGGCAAAGGAAAACATGTTACAGCAAAATCTCAAAAAACTGAGTGCAAATAACCTGAATAATTACTATGAGTTTCTCTTCTCTTACCCCATGCTGCACCACAGTCTCTGGGAAACGCCGCAGAAGTAGAAGGAGCATTTCTGCCCTTTCTAATGTGTTAAAGCACTGCTCTGTTGCCTTCAGGAGCATTTCACACTGGACCCGACCAGGAAGGGTCTCAAATAAGCCTTAAAAAAAAAGAAAACATTTAACTTGTTTGGTCTGAATTGTAAAGATGACTGACAAAGCATAAAAGACCATCAACGTCACCTCACTATGCTTAACAAAAAGGGATTTCCTTATGCTTTTTCTGCTTTCAATACACACACCTGGAAAAAAAGTTTGTTTCTTTCAGAGAAGACCAAAGAAATATTTATATGTAATAGTGTTTATTTGGGTGCAAGGAATTTGAATTGACAAGACTGCTAGTAAGTGGAATACTCAAAAGCCTAATATTTATGTATTTGGCATTTCAAGATACTTTCTCAAAACTGTTAATTTTTTTACTTACATTCTACTTCTACAATTATTATTTCATTACTAAAATGTAGGAGTTTTTCAATTTAAATGCCTAGTGAGGCACTAAAAAGAAACATATTCTCCCTGTATGTTTTATGTACTCTGAAAAATAAACACACCCCATGAAAAATAAAATGTTTTCTTAACTGGAATATTCATAGAGCTTCTGAAGCACATACTCAAACAGCAGATCATAGTTTGTCAGGTGTAAATCCTGCTTTCAAAACTGCCTGTGGTTGCCAGCAGTGAATGCCAAGCCCTTCTGGACACCATTCATTTTTATATCCCTCACTACATAAATAAATAAGAATTCACCCCATTTTTACGATCATACACTGTTCTCTGCAATCTGTGGGACAATGACTTTCAAGTCTCATTCCACTCACTTCCTATCCAATTGCTCTTCTATGTGCTTCTTGTTCTGGCAGAGTAAGCCTATCCATAGCAGAGACAAAGCAATGGGAACCAACTTACCATGCCCCTTTGCTTTCCTAAGCCTAACACACCAAATTAAGTCTCTAAGGCTGAATTGAGGGAAAAAAACCAAACCCTGCACTCCACAGGCAAAGTTAGAAAAACTGACATTTACTTGTTGAACTAGATAAATAATTAGAGGGCTTATCTTTAGATTACTTCAGGAAAGAATCCTTACCTCTTAAAAACTGTGTCTGCTTGTCCTGGGAGTCATTCCTTAATGCTGATGTAATAACACTGATCTCCCTCCATACAGCAGGTTGGTCTGGAAAATTCACAAACCTGTAACAAAGTTTAAGGCAAGGAATGTACAGTGATCCCAAAATCTGTCTCAAAGACAAAACCTTCCCACAGAAGTATGTGTTTGGGCAAAACAGAAAATAAAACCTTCCTTTTACAGTTTGTTCTTAATTAATTAGCTCTTTTGTGCTTAATTTATCCGCACAGTTTTTCAAAAATACTAAATTTATATTTTTTTGAAATCCAGACATTTATTTATCCAGAGAAGGGCAGTGCAGCTGCTGCAGTGTCTGGAGAACAAGTCCTCTGAGGAGTAGCTGAGGGAGCTTGGGTTGCTCAGCCTGAAGAAAAGGAGTCTCAAGAGTGACCTTATTACTCTCTCCAAGTCCCTGAGAGGAGACAGTAACCAGGTGAGAGGGTCAGCCTGTTCTCCCAGGCAACCAGTGACAGGACAAGAGGACATGATCTGAAGATGCACCAGAGGAGGCTTAAGCTGGACATTAGGAGGAATTTCTCCACAGAAAGGGTAATTAGAATTGGAATGGGCTGCCCAGGGAGGTGGTAGAGTCACCCTCCCCAAGATGTTTAAGGAAAGACTGGATGTGGGACCTGGTGCCATGGTCTGGTTGTCAAGGTGGTGTTTAGTCATAGTCTGGACTCAATCATCTCAGAGGTCTTTCCCAAACTGATTCCATGAGAGGAGAACCTGGGATAAACATGGAGTTCCAGCTCTGATTACTTACATGTCGTAGAGCAGCCTGCCTGCAGATGCTGTCCTTTCAGCATTCCTCTCAATAGTGTACATCTCATACTGCAGGATGCAAGAACAGAACATCAGTTTTCCTGAATGCATTTATCAATCACATTAGTCCTTCCACTCTAAAAAGCTGCCCTCGATTTGCCACAGCAGTGTGCCTAACAGAAAACTGAAGGACTGCAACACTTTCTGGACAAATTAGAAAACATTCGGCTATTTAATAATACATAAATTGAGGCATAAAATTCTGCATGACAATATACTTATTATTAGTAACACTAACAATGTGCTAGTATCTAAAGGAGGCCAACAGAGAAGTCAAAGAAGGACTCTTCACCAGGAAGTGCTAGGACAATGGTTACATTGTAATAGTAATGGGTACAAACTGAAAGAGGGGAACTTCAGATTACCTATCATGAAGGAATTCTCTAGCATGAGAGTGGTGAGACACAAGAACAGGCTGCCCAGGGAAGCTGTGTGTGCCCCATCTCTGAAGTGTTCAAGCCCAGGCTGAATGGAGCTTGGAGTAACCCAGTTAGTGGGAGGTGGCCCTGCCCATGGAAATGGGGTTGGACTAGATTATCTTTAAAGTCCCTTCAGCCCTTAATATTCCACGGCCCTGTGAACACGCTGGCTTAACTTTTACACAAACTGAAAACTTGGAATGCAAAGAGTTCTTTGCCCAGGGTTTGCACCCAGCCAAATGCATTGCAAAGCTCCCAAGCTGCCACAAAAGCCATAATCAGAAGAGGTACTTTAACTAAAAGTACTACTACTAGTAGTAAAGTAATAAATGGTTTTCTTTTGTTTTTTAACCGCGCAGTCAGCGCAGCACCCAGCGGCCCCGCCCCTCCCCTCCCCATTGGCCGAGCTGCCTGTCAATCAGGCAGGGCCGCAGCGAGGTGGCGCGGAGCCCCGGCACCGATCGTGTGCGACAGCGGCGGCGCTCACTTGTATGTTGAAGTCGGCGGGGTAGAGGCTCCGCGCTGTGATGAGCCAGGCCTTGGCCGCCCATAGATCCCCCGGCACCAGCTCCCGGGCCCGCTTCACCAGGAACTCACAGTCCCCCTGCGCCGACATCTTGCACCCGGCGCG